TACTTGATAGAAGGTATAATCTATAAACGAAATAATTAAATACATACTTGGTTATTGAGGAGTTTTACAATGGCATAAAATTAATATGTGATACAACTTTTCATTTTTGTAAAATTTTAAAATTTTGTTATATTTAAAAATACATATTTATTTTATGCTATTTATGTAATTATCTTTTTTTTACTATTTCTCATATTTGTTAACTACTTTATAGATCAAAGAAAAAATAATTCGTAATTCATAATTTAAACTTATAGCCAGAGGCAAGAGTCTAAACTATTTAATCTGAATTTTTTTTTAAAGCAAGTTCTTATGCATACTTTTTAGTGTGTGTATATATAAACCGAACAAAATTTTAATTTTTTCTCCAAAAAAAAAAAAAAGTTCCCCCATAATAGATCAAAATTTTTTTGCTTTTTTCTTTTGTTGAGGGTAAAAAAAAAAGTTTTTAGGAAATATAATAGATCAATTTTGCACCATAAAAAGAAAGCTGCTTAATAGAGGTAGGTTAAATAACTTTTCTCTAATCTTAAAATCATTAAATTATGGTACTTTAATTTTTAGTCGATATTAATTAGCTTATCTAAGCTCATTAATTGTATCGTAAAGTTATATCAATAATGAAGTTGATTAAGAATAATTAACGTAAAAGTTATAGTTATATTAATAATTCAGTTCTCAGTCTATGGTATTTTTTATTTTCTTTTTCTACTATATTCAATCCTTATTTCTTATTTATTCGTTATACTGTTATATTGTATCGAGTTATTTTAACCTTAATGGAAAATGGGTGTTTTAACTAATTTATACTCAGGTTCTTTTTAGTATTATGTAAGTAAGTACCATTAATTCGTAATATTATCGCGTAATTTTTCTTAGTAACCATTTAATACATTTTGAATAATTAGTTTAAACTAGCATTGAGTTTAATGAGTAGCTAAGGTAACATCAATAAATTAGTCTAAAACGTGTGAATTATGGGATAGAGATCTGACTTTTGCTTCTCTAATTTATTAATATCCACAAACATTTACCAAACCTTAATTTCCCCATCAAACATTTGATTTGATAGTCGAAAAAACAATTCCACTCTAAATTTCCCAAAATCATACGTTTCTTTGATTTTAAAAAGGTTTACTTTTGTTTCCAAAACTTTCAAATTAATTATATTTTAGCTTTGAATTTTCGTGATGTATAATGAGTTGTATCATGAGCTTTAATTACTTGAATTTTGTGTGTAAAATTAGTTTAAATTAAATTGGTATATTAAATAAGTTTTAATTAATTTACATCTTTAAATTTTATACTATGTCTATTTTTAGTTCAAATTGTTGTTTAACTCTATTAATGTAATGAAAATTTGACGTGCCTATTAATTTATCAAATTATTCATTGCATCAAGTCAACCGGTTAGGTACATAATCGAAATTTATATAATTGGACGGTGTTTATGTAATTTTGTGACAATATTTATGTAACTGTGGGAAGATATCTTTAAGTATTTGTATTTACAAAATTAGGTATTTAATTGGCTTCCTTTTTCAAGTAAAAGTTACCAGCTACCACCCGTGAATACTAACTGACAATCTATTTTTCCTTCGCTATTTTTTTATTGTGAAAGGTAAATAATCGA